TATTTCTATTTCTATTTTATTTTTTCCTGTACCCAAATTTTGACTTCTTTCTCTGATTATGGTTTTTTTATGAGAGATACCTAAAGTGAAAATTCTACGTGTAAGAGGGATATGCTGATTTACCCCAATATACTCAGTGTTTAGAGCATGCATCTCCCACTCACTCATTTGTTCATGCATTTAACAGGTCTTGATTAAGTGCCAAGAACGTGGCAGGTACTGCATGAGGCAATGGAGATGAGAGCGTGAGGAGATGGACACCAATTTCTCCTCACGCAGCTTACTCAGAGTGGGGGAGGGAAACAGTTAAATACGACAAGTACTCTGGTGAGGCTGGGGTGTCAAAAATGAATTCTGAGAAAAAGTAACATTCAACCTGAACCCTGAGAATGAGCCAACCTACTGAGGGTAAATGAGTGGGCAGAAGGAAACAGGCAAAGGGGACTCCAGGAACAAAGTCTCAGGGATGGGGTAACCTAAGGAGCCAGAGACTGCATGGCTGAAACTCTGAGTTCTTGTTTTAATTTATCTGTGGTTCACTTTGAATAAATCTTTAAATATATTTAAACTTTTAATTGAGAAAAAATCTAATTTTTATATTTGCAGTATTTTAAGATCACATTTACACAAAATTTATTCTTGCGTTATTGGCTTTAATGCTTACAAAAGATCATTTTGTTCTACACTTTCTGTTTTTTATTGTTTTGTTTTATCTGTAATTTACTCGAGGTAGACCTTCAAGTAAAATTTTCTCTCCAAGAAGGTTACATGAGATATGCACGACCCTTTAGATGATTTTCTCTTAGAATTATTTCTTCACCTTTTAAAGTAATGATAATAATAAAAATATCTCACCAGAAGCTTCCTCTTGGTCTTGTTCTCTTTCATTATTTTTGCCCAGTACCTTTTCATCTGCAGACTCAGGTCTTTCTTTAGTGTAGGATTTTTTTTTTCTCTTTTGTATTTATTGATTTGTTCTATTTGTTATTACCTTTTCTTCAGAAAGAGAAATAATCTGCATGCTGACTCTTAGTTCTGTGCCCTCTACATAAGCATCTTATCCCTTGTCACACAAGTCTGTGTTCTTTTTCCCTCCATTTGGGAAGCTTCTTCAAGTGTCTTCTAAATTGCTGAATCCTTTTCCTGCTCTGTCAGGTCTACTGCTTGCTGTTTCTAATATTGATTTTAGAACTTGGTTATATTTTCGACTCTCTTGTCAGTCCATCCTGTCCTTTAAAAAATTTCTGTCTTCATCTCAATCTGCTATTAAATCAACTACATTTTATGGGCAGTACAATGTGGTGGTTACACTGTGGATCTAGGCTGCATGGGTTGCATTAGGGCTCTGCTACTTGCTAGCTGTGTGGCCATGTGTAATTTGTGTAACTTGTGCCTCAGATTCCTCATCTGCAAAATGAGAACAATAATATGCCTGTCTCAAAGAGCTGTTGTGAAGACTAAGACTCAATTCATGTAAAACATTGAGAATAGTAAATAGTAAATTTCTAATGAACTTATATTGTATGTTTTCCTAAATTATTCAGAATAATTATTAGAATTTCTAACAGCTATTGTTGCATATATCAGTATGTGTATGTGCATGTGCATTTTGTTTACCTATCTTTTAAGGCAGCAATTTCTACACAATCTTAGTTTTTCTTAGTTCTTAATTCTTTCTGTAAACTGGTTGGTTGCACTTATGTGTATCTTCTCCAGTTACTAAATTGATGGACTTGTTAGTGTGTGTTTCATCTACAAATTTCCGGTGAGTTGCAGCGGTGTGGTCTGCTGACCAGAGGACAGAGTGACTGGTCCTGGGCATTTTAATATGGTGGAGCTTAAGACTGGCCCATCTGAAGCCACCTAAAATTCTTCCTTTTCCAGGAATAGGGAATGACAAATGACAATCCCAGCTGGCCTTGCTCCCACAGTTCTTCCTGCTTCAGTTTCTTCTGCTAGTCCTCGACACAGTAGTTACACAGCTCCACTTCCCAATATTTTCACCCCAGCTACAACATATTGCTTGGGAATGTAGTCATAGGGAGAGAGGAACTAGTGGGGGCATGAAATCAATTTGGCAATTCAGAAATCAGCACCCATGTATAGACAAGCAGCTTCTCACCTTCTGTTGAAAAAGATTTTGTGTCTGTGAGCTGGGTGCTGTAGCGTGTAAAGATGGAAATCCTCATTTCTCGTGTTTTGCATCTTCTTATCCTCCTGAAGAGAAGGTATGAGATAATGGTTAGGAAATCACAGTATGGACTCACACAGACCTGGTTCAAATTCCATCTGATAGCTGGGTAGTCCAGGTCAAATCAGTTAATCTCTTTGAGTTGGAATTTCATCATCCATAATAAATAGACACAATAAAAATATCTGTCCCATTGTCAGGAGAGGTTTTAAATTAGAGAGTGTTCAGTAAATGGCAGCTATTATTAGCATGGAAATATCCTTCTTCTTCCACCAGCTCACAGCATGCCTTTGTCCTTCCACAGGGTATGGGGCTCCAGACCCAGCCCTCAGTTCTTGTAGAAAGCGGTGAAATAGTTGAGGAGGTGCCTACAAGGTAGTCAATGGTAGGATGGCAAAGAGGGTGGTGGGGGGTTCAGGGCTGATGTAGACAATCAGCTGAATTGAGGACTGAGGCACACGAATCATCCAATAACCAAAATTTTCCAAATTCTGGAAATGACTGAGGACTGTGCAAGACAAGTTATCCCCAGGAATGCAGAACATGATGGGTTCTCTCTTCTGGCCCCTGCTCTGCCATTGATGTAGTGTCCACTCTTGGTAATCCACATTTCCATTATTCCTAAGTACTAGCACTTTCTGGGCAGCAGCCATCTCCGTGAGCAAAAGCACCAGAAGTTCAGGCTTCCACATCCTAAGACCCCAGAAGACCTCTGCTTCTGCTTCTTTTGGATTTCTTCACTGATCCTTGATGCCCTTGGACATAAAAGGGATTATTCCACCAACAGCCTCCTCCCCCTTTTCTAAAGCCAGAATTTGATTATTTCTGGTGGTGCCCAACCTGTAATCTTTCGACATCAATTTAATTGCCTACTTTGAGGGCCTGGTTTTATACAGCGTCTTGCTTGCCTTTTTTTTTTT